ACACACACACACACACACACACACACACACACACACACACACACACACACACACAGGTGACCACATATGTCTCATTTCCTAATTTCAAATTAAAGCATATATCTCTTGTGACACATCCACAAACACACCAGGTGTCATGGTGGTGAATAATGGCTGCTGTGGACAGCACACTGACACAGTGAAGCAACTGTTTTCACTGGTTAATATTTAGTTAAAACAGCGCCTCACATGATCTGAAGCAGCTGGAGACGAGACAAATGAAGCAACAACAAATGACAGTGTGCAAATGTGAAATGGAGTAGGCCAAATAAAATTAATTTTCTTTTAAGATTGTTTTGACGAATGACTGCGATTTAATACATTTTCTGATCATAATTACATTTGATTTTATCATGTCTCAGATAATGTTTAATGTATCTATATATCTATCCCTTAAAACATAAAAGGAGTTATTAAAATGTATCTATTACCACTAATAAGCTTTTTCTTCATTCATTCATGTCTAAAGCAAGAACTCTCATGTCATTTTACTCAGTGATGCAGAGAATCTGGTAAATTTGACCATTCCAGCTGATTTTAAAACATTTACACGGTCAAACATGACACAAAGCTACCACATGACCCGATTAGATCAACATTATGCATTAAAATACAAAAGAGAAACAATCAGAGCATGACTGTGGAATCTCTCATTACAAATGTTGTGACATTTTGGTGTTTCCACCCCCCTACCTCCTTGATTGGTGGCAGCGCTGATCACCCACACCTATGTGCCTTGGACTTCAAGCCTCTCACCAGTTTCTCATGCGCTGCCTCCAACAACTCACTGTAAATATCCACGCACCTGTAAATACTCACTTTGGGAATCCTACCTTTTGTGGACCAACTCCTCCGTGCTTCATCTCCTTCCCCAAACCGTAAGAACCTACCTGCTGCACTCACCTGTTGAAGTCCTCTTCTGGAAATTTATCAAGTACTCACCTCTACTACCGTTCTGTTCCAGGTCCAGACCCCAGATCCCTCCCGCACCTGTAAAAAAATAAAAATCACTTATCTTTTATCACTTGCCTCCGTCTCATGTTTGTCGCTGGTACTGCTCACGTTGACCCAAAACCTGTGTTTTATGACAAATGTAACCTGTTTTGTAACCTGAACCTTCGACATTTTCAGCACATAATTCAAGTTTTCTGGAGATATTGTCACAACAGAATGTGAACGGGTGAAAAACAATGTTTCTGTTGTCCATGGGATTTCAAGTGCACAAAGTAATAGTTGGCATTTGCTTAACTATTTCTTAAAATATTTTAATTACACCAGAAACACCAAAAAAGAAAATATAAAAAGGGTTTGTAAAATCACTCTAAAAGTTGCAAATAAAACTTGTTAGTTTGGCTCAGGCCTCCACAGAAATAACACTGTTTTCTATCGTTTTATTTTTCTGTTAGACGCGTCACATCGCAACAATAGGTGTGTTTTGCTGGTGTTTTTTTGGATGCTAACCCAGCTCCCTCTATCAGCACTGAGTTTAAACCCACAGGAAGACACACGCAGACCAAACTTTGCAATCATTAACCTTCATCACACTCGTGCACGCAGGCTCACACAGGAACATATGCGTAAATTCACATGCCAGTGCAACTTTCTACCACATAGAAAAAAAAATAATAAAAGAAAACACAGGTTTACAAGAGTAGATGTAGAAAACAACTTGTGACTCACAACAGGTCAGAAAACAACATGCAGTCATGCTGTTAACCAAACCACCAGAAACTAGTCATCAGCTCATCAACAAGCACACACTTAAAGACACAATCACACACACACACACACTGAGGCTCCAGGAGATATGGAAGCTGCCCATGTCTGAGCTGTAGCGCAAGTAATCAATCACTGATAAAACACACCAGTTTTATGGTCCTGGAACAAGGTGAGCACTGTTTACACTCACACACTCAGTTTGTGAAATAGAAAGTATGGAGGCCAAGGGCCAACCCTGCAACACCCTGCTATAATATGTCACCGGGTTACCATGAGCCATCACGTACACACAACTAACAATGGAGCATTTCAAATCTTCTATTCTGCTCAAACTGGCTGTTCTGACTGCCTCAACAAGAGGTACAGAGGGGTTAGGATTCTATGGAGATTACTGAAGAATTAAGCTATCCTAGTGGTTGTTGGATTAAACTCATTGTGATGTCATAAAACTGATTAAAAAACACAATCTGCTCAATACTTGACTTATATTGATGTTCTTACATTACAAAATGCATAAGCTAATGACAATCACAATGTGACATGTTGACTTACAGAAATGGGCAAATTGACTGAAAATTGGTCAACAATGGCAAGGTCCAAGGACAAGTCAATTGGAATGGAGAAGTTTAAGTTTTGACGTTTTGCTTTGTGTAACGCTCAGATTTGTTGAGTAAAGTGTGCATGTTTTCTTAATGTTTTGTCAGAGGATCTATGCTTGTCTGATTCTGTCATAGTTGTTTATTTCCAGTAACGCTTGCCCTCACTATGTAGGTCAGTGGATGTATTTGGTGGATTTAGCCAAGTGTTTTGTGTACACTGAGTGTGTACTCACATTTCAGTTGATCTAGAAAAGTACTGGAGTAAAGTCTTCCAAACTACATCATTTGATAGAGTTTAGTGTACACTTTTAATGTTTTATTTTATAATTTACAATGAGTATCATTACTTTGTTTTATCTTGACAGGTCAAGCTATACCTTTTTGTCAAATAGAGACAAATTACAAAATTAGGTCTTCAATTACCCAATTTATTATTTAACTGAAAAGCGGTCCTAAAGGCCCTGTCACAACTTATGCCAACTTATGAACACTTTAAAGACATCTATGTTGAAAATGAAATAGAAAAAATCAACAGGAAGCTTCTTTTTGTTGTGTACATAATGCAATTGGAACAAATTGATCAAATATATAACTTTTTTTTTAGGAATTTAGACATAAAAATGTTTCATAAGTTGGCATAAGTTGTCTAGTGCAGTGTTTACCAAAGTTGGGGTCGGGACCCAAAGTGGGGTCCCGAAACATCAAAGTGGGGTCCTGAAAAGATTTTCTGAATTAATTACATTTTTGCCTTAGTTGTTACACATGAGTGAGGTTAGTGTATTTAAAATGGATAAATGTAGTATAAAAAATATTGTTACTATGCCCATGTTTAGTTGACCTGATACAAATGTTTATCATCCGAAAATAGTTGGGGGCTCAGGTCTCTGCTACTGTTATTTTGTGGGTCAAAAGCTGAAAAGTTTGGGAACCACTGAACTTTGGTTCCCAAAGTTGGGCTTGGGACCCAATTATGGGTCATGAAGCACCTTGGATAATCTCCATAAATCAATTTAAAGGGTAATAAAATAATTGCTGATGTAATATTTTCCCTATGATTATTACAAAAACACTAAATAAGTATAAATAAGTATTTATATTTGTGTACAAGCTGTTTAGATTGTCAAAAAGCCTGTGTTTTTAGGGTTATTAATGAAGTACATGTACTCAGACCACTAATATTTGGGGTCACATGTTTTTGCCATGGATATTTTGTGGGTCAGAAGACAAAAAGTTTGGGAACCACTGGTCTAGTGTGACAGGGCCTTAAATGGGACATGTCTGTGTTTTGCTCTTTTTGTAAACGTCTCAACATCTCACCAATGCGAACGGTAAACGACAAGTCTGAGCTCATTTGCACTAAACAATCAGTGTATTGATTATTCAGATGTTACAGTAAATGTAGACAGCACAATGTGCTTTTGTTTCAATAAATCAAAATCTGACTCATTTCGAACTTGAGCAAGAAATCTACAGTTTGCCTTTTCTCTCTTTTAAATCTCTCCGTACTCATAAAGGTGATTCATTGAGCAGCGCAACCTGTTTGAGTAGAACCATTTTCATTTTATACCAAAGTGGTATGAAGAAACTGGTCTGTCCTGTGAAAACAGTGGCACTATCAAAATAAATGTGAAACAGAAAATAATCGGTTTGTTCAGATGAAAACTGAGACGTGATCATACATGCACACTGGCCATGGTCATGTGAATGTCTAAGTGGTAATAAAAAAAACTGTTTTGACATAAAGACCCACAATAGTGAGAATATTAAAAGGAATTTTAAAGAAATAAAAAAAAAAACTATTGCATTTATTTTAAGAAGCTTGCAATTCTACCTGTCCCTATTATAACAATGCTGCAGTTTTCAAACAAAATTAGGAATAGTTTGGCTGAACTGTATTAAAGGTTGCAGTTTTCAAAAATGAAAAGCACAAGTGTTGATTTATTTTGTGTTTAAGTGTTTTATTTTAGAAAAGTTTTCAACTTCCTCATTGTTCAGTTTTGCCTCTAGAACATTTCACACAAAAACAAACTAATAAGTTAAGTTTTTAACAACAGCATCTTATCATACATTATATTATTTTAGAGGCAAAGCCCCTTTTATTTTGGTTTGTGAGCTGAACAGCTTATAGAAGTTGTACATTTTTATTAAAACACTGCTTTTCAATATCTGGTTAGGGATCCAGGAGCAAAATACAAACCCACATTACTAACCCTAAAAGGTAAAACTCCATGTAAGTAAGTAAGTAAAGTTTATTTGTACAGTATAGTACCTTTCTTAGACATAAAATCACAAAGCGCTTCACATAAAACAAAATAAAACAAGAAAGTAAAATAAAAAATTTAAAGATTGGTTATTGTTTAGGATCCCCATAAGCTGGGCCTTACACCCAGCTACTCTTTCTGGGGTCCATCATTGAAAATATATACATATATTCAAAATATATGACAGATGACAAGAGTACCGTATCAATTCAAATATTAGTTACAGTTCACACATAAAAATGATCCATTTATTTAAAAAAAAATAAATACAACAATTAACCATTTCATTTTATAAATAAGTTGCTCCAACAATGTTTTTCAGTCTGTTTTTAAACAGTAACTTTTGTTCAATTTTTAAAGGAATTAATGGTAAAGAGTTCCATTTAAGTAAAAGTGCATTTAAGAAAAATTGTTTTTGCCTGAGTAATTTGAAAATGTCCTTTAGCTGTATGTCTGGTAGCAGATCCATGTAAGTTTAAATTATTATTTAACTAAATAGATGATTGATTTTCAGTAAATCAGTTTATGATTTTTATTATTTTTTTAAAATTAAAATAACATACATTTTAAAGGGCCAATATTATGTGTTTCTCAGGCATGTATTTAAATACTATAATAAAGTATATAAGTCACCTTTAGCTGTTATTAAAATGCTGTTTTTATGTTTAAATAGAAAATAAACATCTTCTCATCACTTCCTCTTCTAAAGCCTTGAAATTGGCCTCTGTCTCTTTAAGAACCACCTTCTGATTCTGTTCCATCCCGTTCGGTGGGGCGGGGTTCGCATGCCGGGGGCTCGTGTGTGTGTGTGTGTGTGTGTGTGTGTG